TTTGACAAATGAAATACTTAATTAATTAAACTAAAACATAATTGTTAATTTTATACTAAATGTAATTAATTTAGTTAAAAACTAATTAAATAATTTTAAAAAATAAAAAACTTAATTAACTACTTAATTAATTATATTAACATGTATTTGTTAATTTTATACTAATTATAATTAATTTAATTAAAAACTAATTAATTTATTTTAACAAAAAGAATTTAATTAAATACTAAATTAACTAACACGGAATTGTAAATTTTAAACTAAATTTAACTAATTTAATTAACAACTACTTTATTTATTTTAAAAAATTAAACATGTAATTAACTACTAAATTAATTAAACTAACACATAAGCAAAGATTTTAAACTAAATTTAATTAATTTAATTCAACAACTAATTTTTTATTTTAACAAATTAAACACCTAATCAGCAACTAAATTAATTAAACTAACACATAAATGTTATTTTTAAACTAAATTTAATTTATATAATGAACAACTTATTTACTTCTTTTAATAACTACAAAAATTAATTAACTACGAAATTATTTAAACTAATGTGTAATTAATTTTTTAACAAAATATAACTAATTTAATTATCAACTAGTTTACTTATTTTAAAAACTAAAAAACTTAAGTAACTACCAAATTAATTAAACTAAAATAAACTCGATATTTGTATACAACTTTTAAATAATTTTTTGACAATTAATTTAATAAATTCAACATATATATATATATATATATATAACTTAATTAACACCCCTATTTAATTAAAGTAACAAAATTTTAAATTTTAAAAAATAATTAAATAATATTATTTACGAGGAATAAAATTAGTATAATTAACTACTAAATCACTTAATTAACACATAAATTTTTAAACTAGCACGTATTAAATTTCAAAAAAAATTAAAGTACTTAATTACCAAAAAACAAACTTTATATAATTAACAACTTTAACAATACTAATCAACACATTATTAAATAAACAACACTTAATTAAAATTTTAAACAAGTAATTAATTTAATGAAAAAAAACCAACTAAATATATTAACAAACTAAATTAAACTAACTAAAAATTAACAAATAATTAATTAAACAACATAATTAAATAAAATAAAACTTAAATAATTTTTTTAACACAAAATTATTTTAATTAACAACTAACAAGTTAACTATAAAAACAAAATAAATTAAACTAACTAAAAATTAATAATCAATTAAATAAATAAAATATAAAATTATTGAAAAAATAAATAAAAAAACTTAATTAGTTACTAATTACACAAATGGAGGAGTAGGAAAGGAGGTAGGAGTTGCTGCCAACTCACAATGAAGAGGTGGAGGAGTTGTTGCTGCTTGTCGAGGGAAAGGAGGAGGAGGAGGGAAGGACAAAAAGAAGAAGAAAAGGGAGGAGGAAAAGGGAAGAGATAGAGGGAAAGAAGAAAAAAGAAGAAATGAGTAGCTTTGTAGGGAGTTGTAGCCGAGATTGGAGTAGAAATGGGGAAGAAAATGGTGGAGGTGCGGTTGCGGGAAGAAAAAGAAGAAAAGAAAGAAAGAAGAATTTGAGGGAAATTTTTTGGAGCGAGTAGCTTTTAGGGATTAAATTTTTTAACGACTTGTTTTAAAACTATCGCTAATTAACTTAAAAAATTCAAAATGACTGTTTTCCCTCAAACGGTTAGAAATTAGTGACGGTTTACATAAATTGTCGCTAATTTTCCTATTTAGAGATGGTTTTTATAACAAAAGCTGTCGCTAAATCCATGTCCTCTATCGATTTGGCAAACATTTAGATTTAGCGATAATTACCAATTTTTTAAGGAATTAGCAATAGCTTAACTAAACTCTTACTAATTCCAAGGTCATGATCGTATCTAGCGATGGTTTATGTACAATCGTCCCTAAAAATAATCATATGTGATCAAATTAGTATTGATTTTTAAAGCTGTCGGAAAAAATCAATTTTTAAAAAAGTATTAGCGATAGTTTTTTAAAAACGATCGTTATTTAATAGTTTTAGTGATGGTTTTTGAATCGTCACTAAATTCAATTTTTCTGGTTGTGGATGGAGTATTTGAGACTTGGAGTTATTGATATGATAAATGATCTTGGAAATAGATGTTCGTTGATTGATTGTGCGTATCGTAAAATGAGGCCTTGATGCTTAGGATGATAGCTCTTGGTTGGTATGGGCTAAGGTCTGATCCAGAAAGCTAAGACTTTCGGCCTTTGGGCTTTTGGTACGAGGACTAAATCCTTTTCTGCTAATTTACAGGTCTCGATCCAGCCCGAGGCAAAATTTTGACTTATAAACTCAAAAGAAGAGACAAGTTGTTAGGATGTGTTTGGTGCCTTGAATAAGATAGGGACAAGTTATACAGTGTTTGGTATATAGATTAAATGAAATAGGATAAGTTATACTTTATTTTGTACCCATTCTGGATAAGACAATACTGAAGCTATGTCCTATCTAAAGTTGTACTCAAAGCAAAAATTTTATTCCAATGAGTGGAATAAACTTGTCCAATATCATAAATAAAATCATTATTTTTTATTTTTTATATTATCTATTTTTATAATTTATTTATTTTTAATTTAATTGACTAAAGCTTAACAAGTTTACTTATACTTTGTTAAATTGAATTGTTACATGTAAGGGCTTAATTGCAAAATCAAATTCTCATTTAAGACTAATTTGTAAATAATGAAAAATTAGAGAACCAAAAAAATTCATTTAAGAACTAAAATGTCCTGAAAATTAAATATAGAAACTAAATAAATTGTTGACAAATTTTAGACACCAAAATAATTTTTCACAAAATCTTCATTTTTCATTCTACCAAACACTTGTCTCATCTCGTTTTCAGCACATGTCATATGTATAATCCCAACCCAATCATATTGTCTAGTATGAGGCTTAAATTACAAGTAAGATCTTAAATATAGATATTTCATGAAAAATCTTCTTCATTGTAGTGCTAAATCCAACCTTGGGCATGACTTGGTCAAATGCACACGTCACCGGGTCAATTAATGGATCATTTAGGTTACCCTTGGGCATGACTTGGTCAAATGCACACGTCACTGGGTCAAAATTGATATGATCAATGAATAAATTAGTTTGATTACAAATCCAATCTGACCTAAGGTTTGGATTGCTGGGTCAACCATACAGACAGACAAGGTTTGATAAAAATAAATTATTTCCTTTTTGTCTTTTTAACTGTAGTGATAATATTTGAATATATGAAAGAAAGAAAAAATAGTGTTAAACCAAATCATTGAATACGTACTTAGTATGATTTAAAATTCAAGAAATGTCTTAATAAATTGAAGGGTAAATATCTGAATTTATCTTTATATAATGAGGCAGTTTTTTAATTTATTTTTATATCTCTAATTCTATCTATTTAATCTTTAAATAAAAAAATTATTATATGATGTCATCACCCTATTTTTATCCCCATAAAATACAATTAAATTAAATTAAAAACAGAAAGAAAAAAAAAGAAAAAAGAGGAAACTAAACTTAGATCGAATTAGGCTAGGTACTAGGCATTGAGTTAAACTCGACTAATGATAAAAAAGGAAAAACCAGAATAGAAAAAAATTATAGGCCGACCCTTGATACACTCTTATAAATAAACTATATGACTCGTCGATCAATATTTTTTGGTAAGTAGTTGGTTATGTATAGAAAAGATAAAAATCACCTTATGACGTATTGTCTAAGGGAAGCCGCATTGTATGCAAAGTATGACATGATTTTTAGTTTTGAATATTTTGGCTACATGACATTTAGAAGACTCTTAAAAATTTAATACGAAAGGAAAAAAATTAATAAAAAATATTTTGAAGTTGCCACCTAGTATTAAAGGTAACTAAAAAATTTAAAAATGATACTTGGATTTAAAGATTCAGGATAAGGAATTGGTTATGCTTTTAGAAAGATAACAATCACCCAAAAACATCATTTCTAAAAAAAGGTATCGAGTTTAGCCTAATCATAAGAATATCTCCTAAAAATTTTGTTTTCCCAAATTATTTTCTAAGTCTATTTCCAAGCCTATTTATTATCTAAGTAAAATTGATTTTTTATTTTATTTTTTATTATAGCATCATATTAAATTAACATCAAGCCTCAAAGTTGGAAGTCGTATCAATTTATCCTTTGGATCTAATTATATCCTAACATGATTAGAATATCGAGAAACAACCTAATTAGCTAAGAGTATTTTTTTTATGTGAATGAGAAAATGCTTTTGAAATTAATTCTTTTATTTTTATTGATGGCATTGTATTAAATTGATGTCGGATTCAAAGATGGAAAATCTCATCAATTAGCATCAAATTCAATTGAAATCCCAACATGATTGTCATGTCGAGGAATAACCTAATTAACTAAAAGAATTTTACGCAGAATTCTAAATAAAAATGGCCCAATCTAACTCATTATTTTTTAGGAAAACTATCATGAACAAACATTTAGACTTCAACACATATCAAGCATTTTAAGTAATCATAACACGAATAATTCAAGCGAGTAAGTTCATTTACAACACATCGGGATCAACACTTATCTTGGATAATCCATGAAATAATACACTAACTACTCCTCCCAACTCCATTACAAAGTATTGAACCAACCTTATTCACCTCAATATCCCGAGGAGACCCCTCGAGTTTGATGCATAACGGCGCACCTTAATACACTTCAATCTAATCACATCGCAATTTAAATATTTAAATCCAACACACTAAAAATTTAAACTATAGGCACGAGTTTTAAAAAATACCTCAAAATAGTCCTAAATGATTAGATTACCCCTTTGTTGCTTTAGAAATACCAAGTTTACCGTTAGAATGGTAAAATTACCAAACTATCCTCTAGTATAAAATTACATATTTGTCCCTAATGTGCAAAAGGGAAAAATTGCCTTTATATGTGCCTATGAGCCTATAGTGGTGAGGTGGTTATCGGTTGTAAGGTAGCCATGGGTTTCCGGTCCTTAATCCTATTCAATTCTCAACTTGTAACAACAATCAAACAAAAGAAATCCAAATCCAAGCCTAGAACTATAATTTTTGGTTTTGGCATAAAACTTTTAGGATTTAACTATTATTCTTGAAGTGGGTTTTAGGGTGGCTATATATATCGGATATGGTGATTGGAAGGGAATGGTATGACTATTGTGATGACTTTATGGGTGTTGCAAGTTGTAAAGGAGAGGGATAGTTGTTGGAGATGGCTACTATGGTAAAAATTATAGTGGTCGAAATGGCTACTTTGGTAAGGGTTGTAGTTATGCGGATGATTGCTCTAATGAGGGTTATAGTAGTAGAGATAGCTATTGTGATGAAGGTTGTAATGGTGGAGATAACTATCATGGTTTAGGTTTGTAGTGGTGGACATGGCTACTGTGGTGAGGGTTGGTAGTATTCGATCTTTGTTGGAGGTGGTGAAGTATAAATATGGAGTTGAAAAGGAGAAGATTGAGGAGGAGCTATGGTTGTGAGGTGTGAGGTGTGAGGTGTAAAGCTTCGACTAAAGAAGGAGCAACTATGGAGTAAAGCTTTGGCTAGATGTTGGTTATATCTATGGTCTGTTGGAGAGAAAGATATCAAGGAGGAGCTATAGTTATGGCATGTGAGGTATGAAGCTTCGACTAAAGGAGGAGAAGATGTGGTTGTTTTTGTTGTAGTAGGCTGTGAGGTATGAAGTTGAAGCTTCAACTAGAGGAGGGTCATGAATCGTGAGTGCTAGAGAGAGAAGATCGGAGAGGAGTTAAGGCTATTGATGGAAGGGATAGTGGGTCGAACGGTAGTTGTTTATGGTTGGGCAATGCTTGTGGCTCGATGGTGGAGTTAGGGTGAGGAGAAAATAATGGTGGCTATTAGGGTTTTTTCGGGAAGGAAAATAAAGAGTTACATTTTTGGGGAGAAGGAGAGAAAAATTAGATTTTATAGTTGGTATTTAGGATTGTGGATAAAAATTTGGCTTGGTCATCTACTCTTTTACCTTTTCAAATTTTGGTTCTTGTCTCAATATTTTCTCATCAATTGCCCTTGATTGAAATGATTTATTCCCTTTTTAAATGCTTTTAATTCCATCCTTTTTTTTTTTAATTAAGGCCCTTGATATTTTTTTCTTCTAATTATACCTCTAATTGGATGCTATTTGGTCGTTAGCTCTCACATCTTTTTTAATTGAACTTTGAATCATTTTCAATTTTATTCTTTCTTTTTCTTCTTCTCTCTCTCTCTCTTTTTTTTTTTAATTTTCTTTGGTTTATTTAATTAAAATTAATGAATAATTATAATAAATTAAAATCCAAAAAAATTATAAAAAATACCTAAAAATCATGAAAAAAATCAAGAAACTATACAACATGTAATTTTTTAAAACATTTTTGAATTTTGTATAAAAATAAATGGAGGAGGTCACAAATATGTTATGAAAATGCTCCCTTTTTACAATGTTTATAATGCAAATTTGATCAAAGTGTAAATTTTTTATTGGCTTGGATTAATAAGCTTGTAAAGAAAAAAAAAGTTTTTGGGGAGAAATACATGCAACTTGACTTGTTGGTTATGTTCTCAAAGGTGCCCTCCTTTGTTGATGGTATTTTTATCATGGATGACCTATCATTATGGATGGTCTAGTGATCATGGATGACCTGCTTTTTATTGATGGTCATGTTTTTATGGGCAACCTACCTCTACTATTGATCTTATTATCACAAGTGACCCGCCCTTACTCGATCCTTTTGTTATCACGAGCAACCTATCCTTTACACGAAGGTCTTTTTATCACAAACGACCTACCTTCTATTGATAGTCTCATTATCACAAGTGACTTGCCCTTCTACCGATGGTCTTATTGTCACGAGTGACTCGTCTCCTACCGATGGCCTTTTTTTCACGAGAAACTCGCCCTCTACTCGGTGGTCTTATTGTCATGGATGACTCCGCCCTCTATTGGTAGTCTTATTATTACGGATAACATGCCCGAGTAGAAATGGTCTCATTATCAAGGGCAACCTACCCCTCTACTGGTGGTCTTATTTTTACGAGTGACGTGTCCTTTACTAATGGTGATCCGATAAAAAAAGATTAAGTATACCAATCGATTTAGGTGATTGATTTTTTAAAAACAAATTAAAGAAAGATTGATTTTTTTTAAATAAATTAGAGAAACAAACCTTTAATGGGTGATTCGATAAAAAATATTAAGTAGATGAACTGCTTGGGTGATTGACTTTTTGAGAACAAGAGTGGAGAAATGAACCTCCGATGGGTGATTGGATAAAAAAATATTAAATACATGAATAGCTTTGGTTATTTGACTTTTTGAAAATGAGTTCGGAGAAATGAACTTCTAATGGGTGATCCGATTGAAAAATGTTAAATATGCAAACCACTTTGGGTGACCGACTTTTTGAGAACAAGATCGAAGAAATGAACTTCAAATGGATGATTCGACTAAAAAAGATTAAATATACAAACTATTTTGGGTGAACGACTTTTGAAAAATGAGATTGGAGAAATGAACCTCTCATAGGTGATCGGATCAACAAAGATTACATATACGAACCACTTTAGGTGATTGATTTCTTAAAAATGAGATTAGAGAAATGAACCTTTAATGGGTGATCCGATAAAAAAACTTAAATAATACAAATCGCTTTGGGTGATTAACATATTGAAATAAGATTGAAGAAACAAATTTCGATAAGTGATTCAACTTAAAAAGATAAAATATATGAATCGCTTTGGGTGATTAACTTTCCGAAAATGAGATGGGAGAAACAAACCACTATGATAGGTGATTCGATCGACAAAGACTAAATGTACAATCTGTTTTAGGTGATTTACTATTTGAAAATGAGATCGGAGAAAAAAATCTCTCATGGATGATCCGATAAAAAAAGATTAAATATATGAACCACTTGTAGCGATTGACTTTTTGAAAATGAAATCGAAAAACAAACCTCTCATAGGTGATTTAATAAAAAAAGATTAAATATGGGAATCATTTTAGGTGATTGGATGAGATATTTTCTAGTCTTTTGAAAAACTCTTGAAGTTTGAGTGATTGAAATGTATTTTCTACTTTGAATGGTATTTCTAAAATATACCAAAGAAATTAATTAACCAAGTTAGTTTCTTACCTATGAGAAATATAAATCATCTTTTTGTTGGGGAACACTCAACCCCTCCTCACCGTAACGAAAGAGTGAATGATGACTTTTTTATGTGAGTGAAATTTTGGTCTTTCAATTCTTTGGATTGATATTGTATCAATCATGTGACTCATTTATGTAGGAAACTCCATTGTTATCCCTAAGTTTTGGGTCGTTATTATACTTGTGATGTAACTTCACAACTTGGCCAACCATTTCTTATCCCCAAGTTATTGTTTTTCTATTTTATCGGATGGGTTATAGATCCTTTGGGATTGTACACACATTTTTTTATTTTTTTTGGAATAAGTATCCTTATAATGTGATCTTACTCTTAATTTAGTTGTTCCCTACCACTTTGATTACTTGCCAAACTCTCGTTAAGCCATTGTGTTTTCTTGAGACTACTCTTTTATTTCCTAGTTTGATTGCTTTTATTGCTTTGTTTAATTCTAAAATGCTTGTTGTTTAGGCCATTCATCCTTTTAGCTAGCTTGATGATGTCATGCTTGAATTTTAACGAGACTTAAAACTATTGTTTGATAGGTTATTGGACATAATTTGAGTTATAAGATCATTAGACTTGCCTTCAAGTATTTTTAATTTTATGAATTACCATTCGGATTGGATCATGGCATACCTCCAATTACTTTTTAAGATCATATATTTTTCATTCCCCTTGTATAATCATTGTTTGTATTCATATTTCACCTTTTGAGGTTTGCATCTAAATCTTCAAATTGATCTTGAAATTAACGTGTTTTGACAAAAAAAAATATTGAATAATATTTTATAGATTAAGTCGTGAACTTGAATGATTCTTTTAAAGATAATTTCGATCATTTGAAATAAAAATAGAAATGTTCTAACGAAAGTACTTTCATTCATGAAGATATTCAAGTTGATTGAGTCAAGAGTCAAATAATAACCTTTAAATGCTATAAAGCAATTTCACAAGGTGATTATTTTCTTAGGCCATATGGGCGAAATGTGTTTAAGTGATGCAAGATTTCTAGAAAAATTAGGTTTTGGTGCTATTAAAGGCAAATGATAAAAAGAGAAGTTTATTTTGGTGAATAAAAATGCTTAAGCGAGAAAGTATTTTGAAAAAATTTAGGTTCTAAAAGAAAGTCTCACCATGGGCTATCTTTTTTTGAAAAAAAAAAAAAAGGACGGAACCACGATAAATTTTATTAATATAAGAAAAAAATATAAGGGGGAAATCCAACCTTACCTAAACAACCTAGGGGATAAGAAAGCCTAAATCCTTAGAGAATAAACTCATGTTACAAGTGAAAATAAAAGTACCTCAACTTCTATAATTATAGAAACCAAATCTATCGAGTCTAAGAGACAACTTAACTTCTAAAGGCAAATGAGAAAAAGAATAATAAGTATTTTTACCTTGAAGAGAATGTGCATGCTATGCTATCTTATCCGCAACATTATTTTGCTTTCTATACACATGGGAGATGCAATGTCCCAAAAGTAACGAGGAATATTGTGTCACGTGATAAGTATAAATCTAAGATAGGGAGGATATCCCTAGAATAGCTTGTTGCATTTGCTTCAAATCAGCCTTTACCAAAATATTACTAAGAGAGAGTTCCCGACATAGAAGGAGACCATCATATAATGCTAGGAATTTTTCTCTTGTATTTGTACCTATTCCATAATAATTTGCAAATGCTACCATGAATTGCCCTCTTGACTTACAAATAACACCACCACCGATGTAATAACCATCTATAGAAGATCCATTCATATTAAGCTTAAAGCGACCATTAGAGGATGATAGCCAACAAAGCCATTTTCCTTTTTTAAATGGCACCGATAGGATTGACAAGCCTAAAGCTTGTAGTTTCTACAAAAAAGAAAAAAAATACAATATAAAGGTTTAGGATTAAAAACCATACATATGTTAGAAAGATGATGACGTACCCGATCGAAAATGGCATCGGTGAACATGGAAAGCTCATCAAATCTTGCTTTGCACCTATGTTTCCATATCTCCCAAAGTGAAAAGAAAAGAGTAGCTACCCGACACATACCTACTTGTGTTGAAGTAAAGGCCATTCAGGTATAAAGGAGGTTAGACAAAGATGCATATGTATTCTTTATACCAAAAAAAGGTGCTAATCTAGCCCAAACTACATAGTTAACTTTTGACTATAAAAAGAGATGGTCAATCGACTCCTCTTTAGACAACGAGACAACAATTATAGGTGGAAACCATTGGAATGGTCAAATCCTTAATCCTAGAATCAACTGGAAGAGCCCCATAAAGCCACGTCCGGATCAAACCCCTTGCTTTAGGAGGAGTGCGGGATTGC